TTGAGCTGGTTCGACGTTGAGGTTGTACTTTGGAATCTTGAATTGGTTTGATATGAGTGATCTATTTTTAGTTTTGATCGGTTGGCGATCATATGGTTTTTTTATTCTACTCGGATTGCGAAGAGGAGGTTGATAATAGGGCTCAAATGATCTAGATTCTAGCTTTCTTTCATTCCACCTTTGGTGACGGTCATCATATCTGGCATGCCTCATCCGGTTCGCCTCGTCTTCCTCCCATCTGATTTGGATCACTGTTCTGGCTAGGGAGTCTTCCTTTATGGTACAACCGAGTTTTGTCAAGTCTTTGTATAGTTCTCCATCTGGGAGAGGTCCTTTTCTGAAAGCATCTACCGCTATCTCTGGATTACAGAATGGGATGGAGATTTTTTCTTTGTTGAATCTGCTGACGTACTCTTTCAACAGCTCCCCCCTCTTCTGGTAGACTCTGTATAGGTCGGTTGGTAGCTTCTCGAGTTTCTTGCTGCTAGCAAATTGTTCGACGAAAGTGTCAGTGAGTTGGACGAATGAGTTGATTGAGTTGTTTTGAAGGTTAGTATACCATTGAAAGGCTAGTCCGAAAAGGCTGGAGCCAAAACTCTTACACATGCAGGCTTCGATCAATGTTTGAGGTATCGAGGCGCGAACATCTGCTGCTTGTTTAAGGCTATGTGATCATCCGGGTTGGTTGTGCCATCTTAAGGCTTCATGCTTGGGATGGTGAATTTGTGTGGCATCTCGGCTAGCATAATTGCATCCACAAATGGTGAATCGACATAGCTGTGAGGTTGGCTCTTTTTTGTTGGGATTGACACTCCAAGTATACGCCTCATCATTGCCTCTATGTCGACCAATCTTTTGGTTAATATTTGCTCCACGGGCGAGGCAGAGGCCACCAGGTCAGCCTGATTGGCTTGGTTTGTCAAATGATTCGCACTCGGTTTTCGTTGGGTCAAGTCACGTGGGGTAGTTTGGCGAACCATTCCAGCATGTGTCGCTTAGTAATTCGGATCTCCATTCATTCCCTTGGGTTGGGTGGTTCCCATTATGAATAATCGGGTGTTTCGGCCTGCATGGATGGTGAGAGGGGTTATTTAGGAGTCGCCCGGTCCGTGGGGATGGATGGACTCGAGCAAGGTGGATTGAAGGTGAGGGACCCCCCTCAACTCGCGAGGATGAGTCGAGCCGAGTAGGGTTTGGGTAGGACTGGTTGATTGGAAATGAGACAGGATGGCAAGGATGGGTGGCTCTTGTTGTAGTGGGCTTTTTGTTACTTGGATGTCTTAATCTCGTGCCTGGAGTGAGCCGACTGAGAGTGGCTCTATTGGCAGTCCTTGCTCAATTGGGTTTTCGGCTGAATCGTCCACTAGCGATGAATAGAATTATCGCGATCTTGTATCCGAGACGATGAGTTTGTAATCTGGAGTCTGGAAAGGCTGCATAGACAGAACTGATGCGCAGAAATGATTGGTTTGTACCTAACAAGGCTGAAACTTAAGGTCATAAAATTGACTTATGTTTTCTTTCAGAGATTGGTTTTCGGCTCGGATGGAGGTGTTTTCGGTCCAAATGGCAACGTTCTTAGCTTCCAGTGTTGCTGTCTTGTCTAACTGTTGTTGCATAAAGGCAATCCAAGCTTCAAGTTTGGCCTCGAGACCAAGATTAGTGTTATCTGAATTTTCAGCCATAGAGAGTTTCCTTGCAAAGTAGGGTCTGAAAGACGAATGATTGCCAGAGGCCCCACGGTGGGCATCAAACTGTAGATGCAAAAAATCTACCTTTACGAAAAACAGGGTCTGATCTTGTGAGGTTGAGGCCACCAACAATCCGTTATACCTGCAAATGCAAGGAAACAATCGTGAAACAAACGGAAAACACTGGGGTGGTGTTTGCTATAGGCACTTCGATGCTCAAGTCAACAAGGCTGAATGAGGATAATTTAGTGAGGGTTAGGGAAAAAGGTGATTACCAGGAGTGAGAACTATTGGGTTCAAAAGTGTAATGTATGTATCCCTTGTGAAAGGGTTGGCCTCTGTCTAAATAGCAATTGTAAGTTCTTTGAGTCCTAGTAGGACTGTGAGTCCTAGGGGTTGAGGTTTTGTAAAAAATGAGAACCTTTGACTCTCTTACCTTAGTGGGAAAGAGAGTCCCAATGGGTCTAAGACACGAATCTTAGACGAATTAGGGTAGTAATGGACTTCTTTGAAAGAGTTTGGGTAGTACTGGAGTAAGTAGGCAACCCTGGGCTCCAAGTAGATCCAAAGTCTAAAAGGTGGTCTAGGATCGAAGGGCTTAGGCCCAGATAAACTGGTGATGAGGCCTAAACGAATCTGCCTTTGCTGATTGGGTCCAAGTAGTGAGCAACTGGGTAGGTGTACCAAACAGACCTAATATGCAAACTTTGTTGCGGGCCCAATCGTAATTGGGCCATGGCTCCAAGCTTTGTTGAAAGTGTCTTCATCTTTGGGCCTATTTGGGCTGAAGACATTTTTTGGCTCTAACAGTAATCTACTGAGCATTGTCATTTTCACTGTGAAACAATCTAGAGTAATATGAAATCAAGACATAAAACGCAAACAAATATCAATCGAGTAAAGAGAAAGAAATATATGCGCGATTTACTCTGGTTCACCCAATCAATAGAGTTATGTCCAGCAAAGTCAATATTATTAAAATACTATCTCGAATGCATCTGCGTAGCCCATTATTGTTGAAGTGGCCGACAACTGCAACACAACGCCCATACGCTTACTTATCAAAACTATTCAGCCTCACCAACCATGTGTAACAATCCATTCTACTCCGTACAAGATTACCATGAAAAAAATCTCACAGATCAAACACACCAATTTCCCACACTTCAGATTGAAAATAACACAAACCTTGTAAAGGACAAACTAATAAGAAGTGAGAAAGAGCAGCCCTGAACATTTATTTTGCAGCACATTAATCATCTAAAGAAAAGTTCAGCGACAAAACTCGTTGCTTTGATTTGTTTTCCACCTTTTATTAGTGTATTGTATTATTGGAGTCAAATTTATAACACTCCAAAAAGATAATACACATTGGGTCTCAAGTTACAAAAGGTCCAAAGAGTAGGTAGTTGACAACATTTACAATGGTGATGAACAATAACAAGATATAAAATGACACAAAATATAGATGGAATTGTGTCTTCTAAACCTGCCCTTTTCCTTAGTCTATCTCCCTTTATATAGGCTTGCTTGGTAGGTAGTGGGCAGTCAGAGTTAGTTTCCTTAACTCCTTCCATAGTGAGCAATGGTGTGTAACAACCTGGGTCATGGAACATATTTACATGTTCCCCCTTTTGCACACCACTTCCTTTTCTTAGGGTCTGTTTAGGAGTTTCATAGTAGTTGTTATAAGGTAAACCACCATAGCGATTTTGAGGGTAAATCATCATAGCGATTTTGAGGAGTTTTTAGTAACAGTTTTTAAAACACCCAACCTATGCTTGGGAGTTTATTTTGAAGTGGTTCTAACAGGTTTTTAAAATGATAAATTTACATATATGCCCATAAAAATGCCTAACTTCAACCAATACTTGGGAGTTTTGTTTTTTCAATTACAAGGTAAAAGTTTTTTATTTGTTTTCTACTTATTAAAATTTTATAACTTCAAATGTGATAAAGTATCTTTATCCTTCTTCGCCATTCTTTGCAACATCTGAAATGATTGAAAAATTGTAGCTGCACTTTTCCAAGAAAGCATCTAGAAATAAGATTTTAATTTTTTTTTTTATAATTGCTTAAAATTATTTTATATTTAATATGGTTGGAGATGCTCATAACATGGTTTAAAAAAAAAAAATTTAGATATAATTGTGATAGTTTTGTAGTGGATAGGGTATTTGTGGAATAAAATTTTAAAATCAACCAAAACACCCCAATTTAGGGTGTTTTATAAACCCCTCAAAAACAAACTACACTGGTTCGGGGGGATTTTTGAGTCAATCAAAATCAGTGCATAAAAAATCTAGCAAGTAATGGTTTTAGAACACCTCAAAACCAGCCTAATTAAAAACCTCTCAAAACTAGTGAAAAAAAAAAAAAACTCCCAAACACACCCTTAAGGAAGTGAATCTTAAATCACCTTCTCATCCAATGGGCCTCGGGCCTTGTAGACCTCATCCGGGCCTAAGCCTTTCTCTCTTGAGCGGCTCCAAAAACCAACCTTAGGCATATAAAAAGTTGAAGTGACATATTTAAATATAAAGTTTTCTATGAAAGTGGATGAGGTTTGTTTAGATATAATGAAGCAGCTATAGAAATGGGCTTAATGACATAAAAGAAAGTTTTGATGTAATTAATTTATGGAAAATACTATACCCATAACCTCTTTTCACAAACTTTCTCTTACAACCTCGATGTAACAACTTGTAATTGGTCAGTTTGTAATGGAGTCCCGTCTGGGTCTCACCTGATAAATTAAAGTTAATTAATTATAAGCTGTCATATTGGAGTTGTGAGAAAATGTTGTAGGTATAACATTACTCTTAATTTATATGTGAAGTTGGTTAGTGAAAAAAAAGGTGGGATTCAACTCGCATGGAAGCATGAGGCCTTGAGTCTATTCACTTCGGGCCATTGGATGAGAAGTAGCCCACTAGAATTGATTACATTTTCTACATTGTATAGTAATATATGGGCCTAATATATTTCCCAGCAAAGTCAAGTTTTGCTGCTTAAAAACAATTTGAAAAGTTTTATTTGAGAGCTTATGCAAATTCCGTTGTCGTCCAGCGGTTAGGATATCTGGCTTTCACCCAGGAGACCCGGGTTCGATTCCCGGCAACGGAAATTTTTTATTTTCTCGTTCAGACTGAGCAACAGTAATGAAACTGAGTGGGAATTTTGAATATTTACATTTATCTTCTGTTTTGCACTCTAAATTCATTGAGAAAATCAATGAGGTTGTGTTGAGTGCGCGCAGCCGTAATATCTGCACTCTAAATTCATTGAAAAAGAATGAGATATCACAACTTAAAAGCCAGCAACATGGAAGGAAGAAAACCAGATCACCATCTCCTCAGTAAACTCCTCCCTAAAGTGAAAATTCTCATCTTCTTTCATCGAAAACCGGCATATGGGACAAGTCTTTGAGCACGCGTTGAACCATCTATTGATACATGCCCTGTGAAACTCATGCAAGCAGGGAAGAACACGACAGTCCTCTCCTTCCTTCAATCCCGATAAACATACGCAACACAACTCACATTCACTATCTTCAGCTAAGCTTGCTCCGGCCAGAGAGCTTGAACTCGAAGCACCATCCTCGGCCTTCTCTCGAACACCAGATGCGATCACTTCATAGGATGGTGCTGCTTTACTTCTTGGCACCCCTCTTGGAATGATCAAATTATAGATGGAGGAGATTAACTTCTTGAGAACCATTTGGTTTAGTGGAAGACATTAACATTTGTAGTAGATATTTAATAAGCAGATTTGTAGTTGAAGATAGTGTGTCAAAGGGCCAAAGACTTCTGTTGCTCAGTTATATTGCGTGGCTTGAAAGGGTAGATGATTGGGAGAGTTGAACACAAAGCGGTTGCACCTAAACAAGAGAATTACTCTTGACCTTTCAATACTATTTATCATAGAAATAAAGGTTCAGTACCTATTTTCTCAATACAAGCTTCATTATTTTTATTATCTCCTCTGCATTGCAGCTTAGAGTTATACATTATCATCTAAATGTCCTTTGATCATAAAAATTAGTTAAACATTATCATGGCTGACTCAAGAAAGCACCTGATAGATTAAACATCACCTCAAATGAAATTTTCCAGCATCTGTTGACTGATTTTGGCAAAGGCAGATAAGCTTACTCAGTAACATAGAAATGCAGGCTGGAGATATTTTACTTGAAACGTGAAGCATAATAAATTGAGACTGATTTTTCAAATGGTTGTTTCTACTAACAATTCAAATAATGAGTCTGACCCACATGAAATCAAAACATACGCAAGCTCCAATTGATGTTAAACATCCAAGTGGTGTGATGGCTAAAGTGGTAGGAATATTTGCCATAAATAAAGGTCATATTTTGTTTAAGTCGCGAAACCGTTTCACAAGTTATTTACTTATTTTCAGAGACCATACCAGTAACATGTTATGGAAACAGTTGAGAAATCAAGTAGTTGAAGCTGATGAACATATGGAAGTTTCAACACTTGTTATAAGTGGAAAAATAATTGTACTATACTGCTGCTAAACAAGAAAGTTACGACTCTCTAGAAGATTTCAACAGGTTCAGATAAATTTCTGCAAAAACTAGTAGCCTTTGTGCTACATGATGTCTCAACTATCCTAACTTTTCATTCCTTGTTCCTTGCAGCATCAGAAGCACCAGCATCATCTTTTAGCATGTCTTCGTCAGAATCAAGTATTTTTCCATCCCTTGGCACCAAGCAAGGAATTCCATCCTTTATCTATCAAATACATGACCACAATAAACATTAAGCATGAACAGAGAAATACTTTATCAATCCTGTGGTTTTAGTCCTAGGGTCAGGTCCTGCAGTTTCAAATACTGGGAAACAGCACCCTGGAATTAATGGATGTTAGTTGAAATCTTTAGTTTACAGTCAAAGACAAAAATGCCCTGAAAAGTGTAGTGTATTGATTAAAAATTAAGAAAAACTGCTATTGAACTCTTTCATCTCTTTTCTTGTCTCAACATTCTCAGATACTTTTGCAGAGTTTCTTAGCAACCAAACAGGTTTTGGTTCTTTCAACTTCTTCAAAAAAATTTTAACAGCCAAACACACAAAGCTATATAAAGTTCCCAAAATCAAACCCAGGAATTTCTGATCAATCAACATTCAAGTTTTCTTGAACAAAACCAAATCAGTAAATAAAACAATAAGATTAAAAATAAAAAATAAAACACTTCTGAAATCACACAAAGTCACCACTGCCACAAATGCACACATCCATAGTAACAATCAATCACAAATTGCAGCCCAAAAATCTTTTGTAACAAGCAAACAAAAATGAACACAGATTTCTAACATCTATCAAACAAAAATTAAACAGATCACCCAGGATGTGGGATGGGGTGGGTGAGCCGAAACAGTGATGGTCGGGTGGGCGGAATGAGGAGTGGAGCTGCTGTGAGGGCTGTGGCGGCTGTGAAATGTGAAATATTGTTTTTGTTAATTTTGGAAATTACTGGGTGATCAGACTTGGAGGCTCTACAAAAGAGAGGAAGAAGACAACGACAGAGGAGAGAGAGTCAAGTGCGTGAAGAGGGTGCAGGAGTTGGAGCAAAGGTGATGGGTGGGTGAGATAGGGTCGACGATAAGGGGAGAGGAGGGGCTGGAGGTCATGTCAATTCCTCTTCTGCCCCTAGACCATATGTCAAATTCTACTTCTGCCCGTAGACCATCAATTTCTCATTAACATTTGTTAAAGTCAGGAAATCCCAGTATTTCAAACCGTAGAATCTGGACCACAGTTGACAGAAACCCCAGGGGGTAAATGCAATTAACTCCAAGCATAAACATACAAACTATTAACATGGCACAAGCACAATTGAGTTACAACTTATTTCAAAAGCTCAATGTTGTAGTTAAAGCTCAATAATAGAACATAAGTTCTAACAAAACTTTTATCCCTAAAGGGAGACCCTAATCGGTTCGAGCTCTCGTAGTAAAGCAAGAAATTTAGGGATAAATATCACATCATACCATCATTGGAGAGGGGTTATTTAATTTGTATTTTATGCACGGAACGGCGGAGTAGAGCAAGAAATTTAGGGATAAAAAACAGTTCTAATGCACTCTCTCAAGAAATTTAGGTATTTAATCAAACACAATCCCATCAAATCTAAAGCGCAAACGTAAAGGATTCTCTAACAGGGACTATAATTGATGTTCCGTCCCAATCCTCGTACATATCAGCCTGCTTAAAGTTCAGTTCTTCAACATCTATCACAAAATGAAATGGCATTCCCCAAGAACCGCATATGTTATATCTAACATTAACATATTAAAGTATTCAAAAAATATATATTACCCACTTAATATTTTTAACAAAAACGAGGGCCTGGATGGGAAGTTTCTAACTTAGAGCTCATAAATTCAACTAATAATTAGCTAACACTAATTCTAGAAAACCCAGAGACATATCCAATTTTCACAAAACTATCTCTAACATTAAACTTATTTTATAAACAAAGATAATTAACTTGATATAGAAAACAACAGTACTACAACTCACAGAGAAAGAAACGCCAATGGAGTCACTGATGATTGAACCATTTTGTTCACAGACCCTACCCAAAATAAATAAACAAATAAATAAATAAAGGTTCCAACAAAACAGGCAGCTTTTGAGAATAGATAAAAAGAGAAGAAGAGAAAATGACCTAAGGGGCTGTTTGGAAAGTGGGCAGACTAGAATTTCCGAGAGAGTTTTGCTGAGTCCACTCCCTGCATCTTTCAAAAGGGCTTTGCTTACCCTCACCATTTCATTCTTTACTCGATGAATTGTGGAGTCTAAAGTGACAATTAAAATCAAGTCCGGCTTAGCGACTTGTTTATATAAAACGCAGTCGTTTTCATGCTGTATAGAACAACCGTCTCCTATAGGGTTTTTCGTTAAATAAAACTGACCATTTTATTTATTTTTATTTTTTACCACTTTATTAATTTTTTTGTTTTTCATACTGTTAAAATGACCATTTCCGATTGTTGGAATTAGAGATAGCATGTATTAATTTATGGTGAACAGTGTTTACCTAAGCTGTTTATTCGGTCTTTTTTTTTTTAAATCTAAGATTAAATTATAAGGGTAAGAGCAAACGACATATTTCCGCTCAAAGATTAGTGAAATTGCAAGTTTCCATCATTTGACCGTTATATTAAACAATTTTCTATTATTTAAGGGTTATAAATTAAACTTTTATGTAGTTAGAGTGTTTTAGCAAAATCTCAAATGTAAGGGGGTTAAAAGAATGATTCAAAAACTAATAATAAAAATGATATTATATTAATATTTAAAAAGGAAGACAGTTTAATAATTTATATAACATATACACCAACTTATCTTCTCAACCAAACATATAAAATAGCATACCTACCAATTTATTCTAACCTAACTAAACACATTTTCCCAAAATATTTTCAATAATCTTCAAAGTAATTTATCTTTCCATTAATATAACATTCCTAGTAATATAACATTTTCTAAACCAAACGCATCCTCAAGATAATCTATCTTACTGGTAATTCCACATTTTCAATAATAAAACATTATCAGTGACCTCCCCTAAGATTTAAGGGTTTTTTCACATCCGAATATTAGAAACACTCATGACCTCCCCTTACATTTCATAAAATATCCAGTTACTTCCCTTGTCCTCCGTTTTCTCACACTCAATCGTTAAAGATCAAGGTTATCAACGTCATTTCGTTGTTCATTCACTTTAAGCACTTTTATGAAATCTTATGCCATCATCACAAGCTCCAATTTGTAGAACTCCATGTAGATTGAAGCATTATACATGCAGCATACAAAAATCTTCACAGAAAAATGGCTTGGTCATAATAATAAGCGGTTTTTTTTTATTAAACTAACTTGTAACATCAAATCGTATATCAAATGTAAAATTAGCATATATATGACGATTTAGGTGATTTAAAAAACATAACTATGATATGTTCTTTAATCACCTTAATCGAACAAATATCATACAAAATAAATGAAACTTACGGATTTGCACAAATATTAGCCCATGCTACAATTATAAAACAAGTCCATATATTAGATCCAAAAGTGGCTACAGTGGCCAGCCCAGTTATGATAAGATAACCGCCTCAAAGTTTGGTTTGAGGCCCAAAATTCCAAGCAATTTCAATAATATTTGACAGGTATCTGCGGAAATATTGGAATCAGAACAGTCAACACTACATTTGCTAAATGTCAAAATTAGGTGTGAAAGGGACTTCTAAGATTGACCAGGAAATTCCAACAACATGCAACTTCTTGGAAGCTAAGAGTTTTGTATGTATCAAACCAGTCCAATTCCACTTTAGTTAAAATCAATCAATGCAAGACTTGACAAAGAAGAAAATGAAAGCTATTAGCAGCCGCAATTGAATAATGAATTTAAGACCTTTTAATTATTATGCATTTTAAAATAGTTCTAACCAAAGTTAGAATATCAGTAATTATTCGTTTCAAAATTTATCTCAAATATCTCGATTAAAAATAATGTATAATTTTTTTTTTTTTAACATTATCATATTATGAGTTATTATTGTTAATACAAAAATTTGTACTAACTTGAGAGAACCGATTAACTTCGACGGAATTAGCACGAATGTATACATGATTTAAGATAAACCAACAATTGAATGTAAACATGCTTAATAATGTAAAGAACACAATCGAATTTTTAAAGTGTTTTTGTAAGTTAAAACTTGAGATGACCTCCATTGTTATCTTATTGCTATAGAGAGCTTACAAGAAATATAATATGCCTAAACAAATTTGCTAACTCCTCTCTCATTGTTTGAGAGGGTTATTATACAAGTTGTGATTCATGGAAAGAGAAATAAGTTCGGGATTGCAATCATAATTGATTTACAATCCCATACTATGATTGCAATCCCGTGATTCGTTGAGATTACGTTGCTAGTGGTGTTGATCTTATCTATTTCGAAATATCTTAAATTGTAGTTTATCTTTGACTTCATTGAGCAACTGTTTGGATTTGTCGCTGTAATGAGCTTTATCTGGGTCGAGCTTACTCTGAATCGAACTGATTCTGGGTCAAACTAACTATTTGCGAGCTTCTAAGATCTAGAGCTCTTACGGCAAAATCACACACAAAAATTATTTTTCGGTCATACTTTAACAAATATCTCCTAAATAATCAAGCAACTTTTTAGTACATGCACCGATTAAAGAGTTTATGCACATAATGTACGTTGATATATCAAATGTTATTTAGTGGCTGGTTGCACTTGACAAATATCTTCTAAGTGATTTAACAATTCATTGGTGCATGCACCAATCCAAAAGTGATCAATTACATGTTATGTGACTAGTTGATGGCCTGATAGCACATGTAATCTCCGGCGGCCAAGTTTTTTGCTCTTAATTTAGTAGTTCTTCCTTGATATTTCCTTGCAACTCATAAGTAACAGCTTGATATCTTTTGTATTGTTATTCTGTCAAATTCACTTTCAACAATTAAAATCTATTAATTTGAACAGTTATTTTGTAAAATGTTTTCACGATATCGACTTACCTCCCCTGTCCACAATTTTCTCACACTCAATCGTTAAATATCAGGGTTATCAACGTCATTTCCTTTTTCATTTCCACTCTTTTCAACTCTCTGTTTCCAAACTCTAACACGAGATTCCACTCAATTTCTCATACAAATCCAACTCCAAGTGAAAAGATGAAAATGAGTTAAGCATGTGCAGTCAGAACCCCTGTGACTCTCTAACCATTCCCATGTAGAACGTCATTTAAAAAAAAAAAAAAAAAAATGAAATAATAAACCCATTTGCATTAAAGCCGTGAAGGCATGTCTCCCATTTGATAATAGTGATACTTTAGCTCCATGGCCTCCAAGGTTTGAAGAGTTTGATACCACCAGCATGCTTCATATTTTTCAAATAAAAGGATTCATTTTTGGACTTTTAAAATGGATCGTACTTGTTTACGGTTATTTGTCAGTCGTCACATATTTTTTCTACGAAAGATATCTATCAAATGGTTTACTCGTTCAGAAGAGGAGGCTGGGTGACCTGGGTTGGGATATTCGGGAGATATTAGTGATTTTTGGGTTTATGATTTCTACTGAAAACTTTTATTGGTTTTAGCCAGCAGCTGTTTTGGTTTCATTTCCTACAAGCTAACTCCAGGTTCAAGTTACCCTAACCCCATTCATGTTTTCCTATTATTTTTATAATAGAAAGCATTAGGAATTATTATTACAATAATACTATACTTATAAATAAATCTTATAAAAATTTATATACAAAGTGAGGTGACAAAAAATAAATAGAAGAGTAAAACAAAAAGTCAAAGTCATTAAATTCACTCTTCTATTCATTTTTTGCCACATCACTTTGTATAAAGATCTTTATAAAATTTATTTGTAAGTGTACTATTACTCTTATTATTATATATTTTCAACTGTACATTTTCTGTTAGTTAACACTTAGGAGACGTTTGGTTGGGGGTTATGTGGGATTACTAGAGTTAAGTCATCTTATATTACTTGATTACCATGTTTAGTTGTCAAGTAATATAAGATTCCGATAATCTTCAAAAACTAATAGTAGTTACTGTTGATAATATTAGAGGTAATTTGATTACCTTCATTTTCTTATGTATTGTAAGATGACTTGGGTAATCTTTTTTTGTTACAATTCTACCCCTTATTAATAAAATTTTATGACAATAATGCCCTTATTTTCAAATTTATTTACATGAATCTTACTTTTACCATTTCACCCCAATTAACTAACTTTTTGGACAAAAAATTACCCTTGAAATCAAAACAAATTTTAGCTTACCTAAGCCACCACCCCCACCACTCGCTGCTGCCAACCAAACCACAGTCGATTGTCGCGGGAAGTCACATGGAGTCGCCATGAGCATCCCACCATGATCGGGAGGCCCCGATATGGCCATTTTTGGTCATACTAATGGCCGAAAAGGCAATATCGGGAGCAGATCTGGCCGAAAATGCCTGGATCTATTATGGCCATTTTCACCTTTATCGGTCAGATCTATTTCAGTCGGAATAGATATGGTCGTTAATGACCAAATCTGTGGTCGTTAACGACTAGATCTCGATGACTTTCGGTGGTAGTTTGCAATGGCGGCAAGGTGGTGGAGGTGAATTTGTTATAAATTAAAGTTTTATATAAACATGGGTGTTTTAGCTAAATTTGAAATATTGGGGGTTAAAAAATTATGTAAAAATTAATAATAAAAATTTAAAAAAATGACAATTTAGTAATTTAAATAACATACTCACCAATTTATTCTTTCTGATCAAACATATTAATATAATATACTTACCAATTTATTTCAACTAATCGAATATATTTTCTTAAAGATTTTTAGTAATCTTTAAGGTAATATGAGATTCCAGTAATATAATGTTCCTAGTAATCTAAAATTCCCATCAAATACACCCTTAGAGGGAAGGTAAGTCAATAATAGGTTTTGTACAGTAAACCCCCATAGGTTTTGCCTAATGATACAAGCATCCGTTATTATATGGAATTATGGATAGGCGGTAGCCCACATTTTTTCCGGATTATACTTTTTATATTACGGTGAGGGAAAACTTCCTAAATTACAATTAACTAAAAAATCCTCAAACAAAATTTTGTATAATATTAAAAAGTCCTAATTTATTTAAAATTGGTAGTGAGTTACCAGCTTATATTAGTCAAATTAAATACACCGACGACTTTACTGCAGGTTCACGGAAGATGGACCACATGCTTTTATAATTGAGATCGTTGAAATGTTTGCTTAATTTTTCTTGAGATGGCTTCTTCTTTCTTCTTCCACTCTTCTTGAGATGATTTCATTAGTTTCACAGAAGAAGAGAATAGGAGTAAACTAGAAGAATCAAGGGAGAAAACCAATTTTGGCTTATTTTCAAAAGCCTATGAAGTAGGATGGCTTCTTCTTCTTCTTCTTCCACTACTGTTGAAGTGAGGAAGCATGATGTATTCCTCAGTTTCTGCGGCGAGGACACCCGCTACACTTTTACCAGCACTTTACACGGAATTTTGAAGCATCAAAGTATAAATGTTTTCATTGATGATGAACTTAACAGAGGAGGGGAGATTTCGCCATCTCTTATGAATGCAATTGAAGAATCAAAGATTTCAGTTATTACTTTCTCGAAAGGTTATGCATCTTCAAGATGGTGTCTTGATGAACTTGTGAAGATCATGGAGTGCAAGGAAACGCATAAACAGGCTGTAATCCCAGTTTTCTATCACATAGATCCAACCGATGTAAGGAATCAAACTGGAACTTTTGGGGATGGATTTGCTAAGCTTGTAGAAAGTTTTGATGAGGAGAAGTTAGAGAAGCTACAAATGACTGAAGAACAATTTGAAGACAAGGTGGAGAAATGGAAGAAGGCTTTGACAAGCGCAGCTAATCTATCTGGCCGAACATCAAAAGGAGAACCGTAATTTTCTACTCTTTAATTTAGTACTCTTGCAGTTTTAGCTGATTTTAACTTTCACATTATATATCAAGCAGTCTAAGAGAGATTAGATATATATTCCACTGGATTGATGAATATTTTTTTTTTTTTTTTTTAATCATGGCCTAATAAATTAAAGATACTCTTACATTAAAATTCACAAATCAAGTAGATAGTTACTAACTTTTGCAAAATATTTTACGTTTGTTTGAACTTTGATTACTGAAATTCATTAATTGACAATATCATCAAACCATCATAAGTTTCGTAATGTTTTCATATTCAGGGATCAATCTAACAAAATTAGTGAAATTTTGAATGTTAAAAGTTTTTTGACTGATGACAACAATAACAATTTTTTCTCACAATCTTTTTGCTAGCCAGTAATTCATAGTTGAACTTTTTTCTAATTATCTTTTGTCAATATATATATATACACACACACACATATATATATACATACATATATACACACACATATATATGTATATTGGATGGGTGCATAAATATAGTGGCATGTTTCCCCCATGGCCCCATCTAAAGTTTTCTTCATAATTGTTTGAATAATATTTAATTGGTAAACTTCATTACAATCAACTGTTGTTGGATTTTTTTATTTTTTTTTCATTTCTTAATGATTTATTACATTTATAACAGTTTTCCTTTTTTTTTTTTAGGTCTGATTATCCTCTTGTTATGAAAGTTCTCGAAGATATTTTGAACATCTTAAAGTTCATGTCCCCAAGTAATAGTGACAAGAAATTGGTTGGAGTAGAACGAATAATTCGCGAAATTGGATCTTTATTGAAAATTTGGCGGGGAAATGTTATTAGTGTAGGAATATGGGGAATGTCTGGTATAGGCAAGACAACTATTGCAAAAAGTGTATTCAACAAATTCAGGGGACGGTTTGAAGGTTCATACTTTGCTGAAAATATTAGGAAAAAAATCAGCAAGTCCTTATGGACTATGTCCAATGCGACAAGAACTTTTTTCTACTATATTGAAGCATCCTATCAGCTTCACAAAAGGAAGGCTTAGTCATAAAAGAGTTTTCATTGTTTTTGATGATGTGACTACTATAGAGCAAGTAGAATCTTTAATTGATGATATTGAACAGCTGGGTTCAGGAAGTCGAATTATTATAACAACAACAAACAAACAAGTGCTTCGAAATTGTGGAGTGGATGACATTAATATATACGAGATGAAGGGGCTATTTGGGAATGATGCTCTTCAACTTTTTAGTTGGTACGCTTTTCGACAAAATCGTCCCAATATAGATTATGATGACTTGTCAAATAGGGTAGTAAAATATACCAGAGGTGTTCCATTAGCTATTAAAGTGTTAGGTTGTTACTTTCTTGGCAAGTCAAAACAAGTTTGGGAAAGTGCATTAAAAAAGTTCGAAAGAATTCTTCATGAGGATATTTACAAGGTGTTGAAAATAAGTTATGACGGACTAAATGATGTTGAGCAGTGCATATTTCTAGATATTGCATGTTTCCTTGAGGGGGAGACTAAAGATTTTGTGTTAAACTCTTCGGATGCTGATGACGGGGAGGTTGAAATTGCATTAATTGATCTCGCTGATAAGTGTCTCATAACTATATCAGAGGATAACAAGATAATGGTGCATGGTTTGCTTCAAGAAATGGGTTGGGAAATAGACAGACAAGAATCTACGGGAGATCCTGGTAAACGTAGCCGTTTATGGTATCATGAAGATATCTATAAAGTTTTGGAAGAAAATAAGGTAAGTGCCGAACGCATTAGATAAATTTTGATTTGATATTTTATAACCACGAGATCTAATATAATATCACTTTTAGAATTATGTTTCCAGTTTTCCTAATAATAGCATTAGCTTGGATGAATTTTGGCTTATGTTTAATCATTTTAGAAGAAAGTCGACAAAAAATACTATTCATGTTGATAAACTCTTAAATACTTTGTAGCTTATTCCTCGTTATTATCTTTCCTTGTATCAGATATCTAATGCAATAGAAGGCATATGTTTAGACATGTCTAAAGGAAGAGAGATCATTTACTTACAACCTAAGGCTTTAGCAAAGATGGATCGACTTAGATTCTTTAAACTACATAATGCGCACGATGAAGAGAATAATATCAATAAGGTCCATGTTTCCGACGAGCTTCGTTATGGTTGGACTAAGCTACGGTACTTATGTTGGCATGGATTTCCATTAGAATCATTGCAGATAAATCTTTGGAAGAACCTTGTTGCGCTTGACATGCCTCATAGCAATATTGAACAACTTTGGTCTAGTGCCCAGGTAATGTAGCGATATTAATATTCCGACATTTCTTTCTTAAGTTCTCAATAGCAAAGATACTATATATGTGTTACTAATTATTTCTTTTCTATTTACAGCTTCATAAATTGAAACATATTGATCTCAGTTTCTCTAAATATCTAAGAATTCAAGATCTCTCGTTGGCCCCAAATCTTGAAAATTTGATTTTAGAGAGTTGTACAAGTTTGTGTGAGATTACCTCATCCATTGATGGTCTCAATTATAAGCTCCTTATCATAAATCTAAGGCATTGTAAAAGCCTTGGTAGTCTTCCGACAGACATTCGTCTAGAATCTCTCGAAAAAGTAATCTTTTCTGGCTGTTCAAATCTGAAGAAGTTTCCACAAATCTCCTGGAATATGAAAGAATTATATTTAGATGAAACTGCAATAGAGAAGTTGCCGTCGTCAATAGAGAATTTATCCAGACTAGTTAAATTGAATCTCAAAGACTGCTTAATGCTTGAGAGGGTTCCAAGCAATATCTGCAAGTTAAGATCTCTTGAACATCTCAATCTCTCAGGGTGTTCAAAACTTGAAGGTTTGCTTGATAACTTAAGAAATTTAACAGCTTTGAGGGTGCTTAAAGCGGAGAGGGTTGCTACAAGAGAAGTACCAACATCCATTCCATGTTTGCACCGTCTAGAAGAACTAGATCTGACCAACTGTTGTATTAAGGAGTTAGCGAACAATCTTGGTCAGTTATCCTCACTGAAAAGCTTACTTCTTGGCAGAAACTTCTTTGAGAGCATTCCAACAAGTATTGTAGAGCTTTCTAAGTTGTCTTATCTTGACCTAAGCTATTGTGAGAGGCTTCAAGTCCTACCAGAGTTTCCACGTAATTTAAGACATATAGATGCATACAATTGCACAGCATTGGGAGTATCATCAAGTTTGTCAATTTTCTTCGAGAAATTTTTTTCCGAAAGCTCAAGAATTAACTTGAGCAATTGCTTCAGTCTGAATCAAGACGCCATCAGTGAATTTTTTAACGATAAGCCTCTTCTAGAGGTCTCCTCGCTCTTTCTTTTTTCTTATGATTTTTCATTACTTCTGTTATGTTAATGATATATGTTTACGTTTACCCATGTCATAAGTGATTGACCTCATTTTTTATTTTTTACTTTTTGTACAGATTTATGGAATTGCACGAAACTACAACAGTGGTTGTGTCTGTTTTCCTGGATCGGAAATCCCAGAGTTGTTTGTCTTTAAAAGAATAGAATCTTTTATAACTCTGGGAAAACAAGAAATTCGTGACATTTGGCCTTCTCTTCTCGTCTGTGTTGTTGTGGAGTTTCGAAACTATCATAATGAAGGCCAGGGTTTGGTGGTCGTCTTCGAGTGCTTGCTCACAAGAGAAGATGGTACAATCGATGTGTTCCATGGAACTTTAAGGGGATGGAACCATGGTAATGGACCTGACTATGTGGGCTCAGATCACGTATTCCTGGGATATGATTCTGATTTTAACTTCTCTGGTTCGTACAATATTAATTATCCCAAATATTGTGAGATGACCATCCGATTTTATGTTGAGAATTTTACTGAAAGATCAGGTTGTTGCAACGTGAAAAAGTGTGGAGTTTTGTGTCGAAACGGACTCCGTCCACAGCTGCATACCGGTTTTTCGACGATATAAACCCTTTTTAAGACCCTTACCCGGTTCTGCCCATTTATTTTGCGGGTGGGTCAGGTATACCTGTGGGTACCCGTTAAAGTAAAAAATAAAAAACCCCCCCTGTCCTTCGAGTGCAAAACCAGACCTAAATCCCTAATTGATTTTTAACTGCTCTCTCCACGATTCCACAGTCCACTCCACGGTCTCCACCTTCGAGTTCGATACTTCATGTTCCCCTTCTACCTTCGGTCACTAGTGTTTCTAGCGAACGACGTTTCCATTCCGGCGGCACTGATTCTAGCACTCTCCGTCACAACTTACAAGCGGCAGGTAAGCAAAATCATTCTCTTTCTATCCTTCTTTTTAATCTTATATTATCCACTTGTTCCGTATGCAGTTATTGCAGTAACTAATTAACACCATAAATCTTCATCTTCTTACATGGAAAAGATGGATTTTTTCATGTTCTATATCCTCTGCATTTGAGTTTACAGAAATTAAATTTTCTTTTTTAATTTCTCTGGCCGTTAACTTNTGGTCAGTTATCCTCACTGAAAAGCTTACTTCTTGGCAGAAACTTCTTTGAGAGCATTCCAACAAGTATTGTAGAGCTTTCTAAGTTGTCTTATCTGGACCTAAGCTATTGTGAGAGGCTTCAAGTCCTACCAGAGTTTCCACATAATTTAAGAAATATAGATGCACACAATTGCACAGCATTGGGAGTATCATCAAGTTTGTCAATTTTCTGCAAGAATTTTTTTGATTTTTTTCCCCAAGGCGCAAGAATTAACTTGAGCAATTGCTTCAATCTGGATCAAGACGCCATCAGTAAATTTTTTAACGATATTCTAGAAAAGGTTACTTTAAACGTCTCCTCGCTCTTTCTTTTTTCATATGATTTTTCATTACTTCTGTTAGGAAAAGAAAATTGTTAATGATATATGTTTACGTTTATCCATGTCATAAGTTTTTGACTTCATTTTTTATTTTTTACTTTTTCTGCAGAGTCATGTGTGTTCCACCAGGGGTTGTGTCTGTTTCCCTGGATCGGAAATCCCAGAGTTGTTTGTCTTTCAAAGAGTAGAACCTTCTATAACTCTGGGAGAACAAGACATTCTTGTCGATAATGTCTTCCCTTCTCTTCTCGTCTGTGTTGTTGTGGAGTTTCGAAACTATCATAATGAAGGCCAGGGTTTGGTGGTTGTCTTCGAGTGCTCGCTCACAAGAGAAGATAGCACAATCGATGTGTTCCACGGAACTTTGAGGGGATGGGACTATGGTAATGGACCTGACAATGTGAACTCAGATCACGTATTCCTGGGATATGATTCTGCTTTTAGCTTCTCTGGTTCGTACAATATTGATCATCACAATTATCGTGAGATGACCATCCGATTTTATGTTGAGGATTTTACTGAAAGATCAGGTTGTTGCAACGTGAAAAAGTGTGGAGTTTTGTGTGGGCCTTTTGGGCGGAAACGGCGGGATCATTTTGAAAGTATTTTTGGAGAGTATATTTTGGGAGTTGAATAAGAGAGTGTTACGAAATAAAATTAAAATATTTATTAAAAAGAAATTATAAATTTATTAATTTAATTAAACACCCAAACATATTAACCCGTTTTAAAACCCTTTTTCGGGTCTGTCCATTTATTTTGCAGGCGGGTCAGGTATACCTGCATGTACCCGTTAAAATTAAAAATTAAAAACCCCTCCTTTTCTTCAAGTGCAAAACCAGACCTAAATCCCTAATTGATTTTTAGCTTCTCTCTCCACGACGCCACAGTCCACTCCACGGTCTCCACCTTCGAGTTCGATGCTTCATGTTCCCCTTCTACCTTCGGTCACTGGTGTTTCTAGCTAACGACGTTTCCATTCCGGCGGCACTGATTCTAGCACTCTCCGTCACAACTCGCAAGCGGCAGGTAAGCAAAATCATTCTCTTTCTATCCTTCTTTTTAATCTCATACTATCCTCTTGTTGCATATGCAGTTATTGCAGTAACTAATTAACACCATAAATCTTCATCTTTTTACATGGAAAAGATGGATTTTTTCATGTTCTATATCCTCTGCATTTGAGTTTACAGAAAGTTTGTGTTAAAATCAAGGCCTAATAAATTAAAGATACTCCTACATTAAATTCACAAATCAAGTAGATGGTTACTGACTTTTGCAAAATATTTTACGTTTGTTTAACTTTGATTACTGAAATTCATTAATTGACAATATCATCAAACCATCATAAGTTTCGTAATGTTTTCATATTCAGGATCACCTAGAAAATTAGTGAATTTTGAATGTTAAAGTTTTTTGACTGATGAGAACAATAACTATTTTTTCTCACATCTTTTTGCTAGCCAGTAATTCTATTTGAACTTTTTCTAATTATCTTTTGTCAATATTATATAATTGTGTATATACATCTACATATATGTATGTATGTATTATAACATGTATGTGTGTGTGGTATATTGATGGGTGCATAATATAGTGGCATGTTTCCCGCTCTAAAGTTTTCTTCATAATTGTGTTGATATTTTGGTAAACTTCATTACAATCACTGTTGTTGGATTTTTTTTTTTTTTTCATTTCTTATGATTTATTACATTTATAACAGTTTTCCTTTTTTTTTTTTAGGTCTGATTATCCTCTTGTTATGAAAGTTCTCGAAGATATTTTGAACATCTTAAAGTTCATGTCCCCAAGTAATAGTGACAAGAAATTGGTTGGAGTAGAACGAATAATTCTCGAAATTGAACCTTTATTGAAATTGGCAGGGAAATGTTATTAGTGTAGAATATGGGATGTCTGGTATAGGCAAGACAACTTTGCAAAAAGTGTATCAACAAATTCAGCATACAGTTTGAAGGTTCATACTTTGCTAAAATTAGGAAAGAATCAGCAAGTCATCATGGACTACGTCTAATGCGACAAGAACTTTTTTCTACTATATTGAAGCCTCCTATCAGCTTCACAAAAGGAAGGCTTAGTCATAAAAGAGTTTTCATTGTTTTGATGATGTAACTACTAAGAGCAAGTTGAATCTTTAATTGATGATATTGAACAGCTGGGTTCAGAAGTCGAATTATTATAACACAACAAACAAACAAGTGCTTCGAAATTGTGGAGTGGATACATTAATATATACGAGATGAAGGGGCTATTTGGGAATGATGCTCTTCAACTTTTTAGTTGGTACGCTTTTCGACAAAATCGTCCCAAATAGATTATGATGACTTGTCAAATAGGGTAGTAAAATTACCAGAGTGTTCCATTAGCTATTAAGTGTTAGGTTGTTACTTTCTTGGCAAGTCGAAACAAGTTTGGGAAAGTGCATTAAAAAAGTTCGAAAGAATTCTTCTGAGGATATTTACAAGTGTTGAAAAATAAGTTATGACGGACTAATGATGTGAGCTTGCATATTTCTAGATTGCTGTTTCCTTGAGGGGAGACTAAGATTTTGTGTTAAACTCTTCGGATGCTGATACGGGGAGGTTGAAATTGCATTAATTGATCTCGCTATAGTGTCTCATAACTATATCAGAGGATAACAAGATAATGGTGCATGGTTTGCTTCAAGAAATGGGTTGGGAAATAGACAGACAAATCTACGGGATCCTGGTAAACGTAGCCGTTATGGTATCTGAAGATACTATAAAGTTTGGAAGAAAATAAGGTAAGTGCCGAACGCATTAGATAATATTTGATTTGATATTTTATAACCACGAGATCTAATATATATCCTTTTAGAATTATGTTTCCAGTTTTCCTAATAATAGCATTAGCTTGGATGAATTTTGGCTTATGTTTACATTTTAGAAGAATCGACAAAAAATACTATTCATGTTGATAAACTCTTAAATACTTTGTAGCTCATTCCTCGTTATTATCTTTCCTTGTATCAGATATCAATGCAATAGAAGGCTATGTTTAGACATTTCTAAAGGAGAGAGATCATTTACTTACACCTAATGCTTTAGCAAAGATGGATCGCTTAGATTGTTTAAACTACATAATGCGCACTATGAAGAGAATAATATCAATAAGGTCCATGTTTCCGACGACGTTCGTTATGGTTCGACTAAGCTACGGTACTTAGTGTTGGCATGGATGTCCATTGTCGTTGCAGACAAAACTTTGGAAGAACCTTGTTGCGCTTGACATGCCTCATGCATATTGAACAACTTTGGTCTAGTGCCCAGGTAATGTAGCGGTATTAATATTCCAATATTTCTTCTTAAGTTCTCAATATATGTTACTAATTATTCTTTTCTATTTACGCTTCATAAATTGAAACATATTGATCTCAGTTTCTCTAATATCTAAGAATTCAAGATCTCTCGTTGGCCCCAATCTTGAAAATTGATTTTAGAGAGTTGTACAGTTTGTGTGAGATTACCTCATCCATTGATGGTCTCAATTATAAGCTCCTTATCATAAATCTAAGGCATTGAAAAGCCTTGGTAGTCTTCCGACAGACATTCGTCTAGAATCTCTCGAAAAAGTATCTTTTCTGGCTGTTCAAATCTGAAGAAGTTTCCACAAATCTCCTGGAATATGAAAGAATTATATTTAGAAAACTGCATAGAGGAGTTGCCGTCGTCAATAGAGAATTTATCCAGACTAGTTAAATTGAATCTCAGAGACTGCTTAATGCTTGAGAGGTTCCAAGCAATATCTGCAAGTTAACTCTTGAACATCTCAATCTCTCAGGTGTTCAAAACTTGAAGGTTTGCTTGATACTTGGGAAATTTACAGCTTTGAGGGGGCTTAAAGCGGAGAGGGTTGCTACAAGAATACCAACATCCATTCTATGTTTGCACCGTCTAGAAAACTAGATCTGACCAACTGTGTGTATGAGGAGTTACCAGAACCCTCTGACGCATTCGGGGGTCTCTCGAGTCCGTAGACGGTTTTGGGTTTTTTCATGTAAAATCGCTGTAGGATTCTTTGTAAGTTACTAATTCCTTATTGGGTTGGACTTAGGAATAAGAATTCTTATAAAACTAGGTTTAGTATCTTAAACCTAGTATCTAAACATACTTTTTTTCTTGTTATGAGTGAGATAGCAAATCATAGGATAATTCATTCATTGTAAACGAGAGAGATGAGAAATATTTTAATAATATTGACTCAGCTGGACATAACCCACATTGGGTGAATCAAGATAAATCGTGCGTATTATTTTCTTTGTTTACTGTTTGATTTATTTTACTGTTATATTTTATTTCTGTTGTTGTTGTCTCTATTTCGTTTATATATATATATATATATATAATATAGAGGGGCCTTCTCATTAACTCTTAACATTTATCAAATATACAGCTAGCATAAGGCACCAAATCGCATCAGTCAGAATCAGTTCCAAAGAAAATTAAAAGATTAATTTTTGACAGCAAAAGCATCAAACTGCATTGATTTAAACCAAACGAAGTGATTTACAAGGATTGGAAGGAAGTTGAGAGAAAAAGCACTTTGAAAGCAAGTAATTAATTCAAAAATTATCAAAATCATAAAAACTCGTCGTTTAGAAGCGGTTCTGAAGCATCTTTTCAAAGAAAATATTCTAATTAATCCAAAAGTAATAAAAAATACAGACAGTGTCGCATTAAAGAATATCAAAACACATTGTTAATAATCATTGTTTGAGACAAATCTGAGAAAAAATCGTGATGCTCGGCCTACCTTTATTCAATTAAATCAACGAAGATGGGACCAGGAACCGACAACTTTACCAAAGGTTCGCCTATCTTTATTCAGTTAAATCAACGAAGATGGGACCAGAAACCGACAACTTTACTGAAGGTTCGCGGAAGATGGACCACACGCTTTTATAATTGAGATCTACTGTTGAGATGTTTGCTTAATTTTTCTTGAAATGGCTTCTTCTTTCTTCTTCCACTCTTCTTGAGATGATTTCATTAGTTTCACGGAAGAAGAGAATAGGAGTAAACTAGAAGAATCAAGGGAGAAAACAAATTTTGATTTATTTTCGAAAGCCTATGAAGTAGGATGGCTTCTTCTTCTTCTTCTTCCACTACTGTTGAAGTGAGGAAGCATCATGTATTCCTCAGTTTCTGTGGCGAGGACACCCGCTCCACTTTTAACGGCACTTTACACGGAATTTTGAAGCATCAAAGTATAAATGTTTTCATTGATGATGAACTTAACAGAGGAGAGGAGATTTCGCCATCTCTTATGAATGCAATCGAAGAATCAGCGATTTCAGTTATTACTTTCTCGAAAGGTTATGCATCTTCAAGATGGTGTCTTGATGAACTTGTGAAGATCATGGAGTGCAAGGAAACGCATAAACAGGCTGTAATCCCAGTTTTCTATCACGTAGATCCAACCGATGTAAGGAATCAAACTGGAACTTTTGGGGATGGATTTGCTAAACTTGTAGAAAGTTTTGATGAGGAGAAGTTAGAGAAGCTACAAATGACTGAAGAACAATTTAAAGATAAGGTGGAGAAATGGAAGAAGGCTTTGACAAGCGCAGCTAATCTATCCGGCCGAACATCAAAAGTTGAACCGTAATTTTCTACTCTGTAATTTAGTACTCTTACTGTTTTAGCTGATGTTAACTTTCACATTATATATCAAGTAGTTTAAGAGAGATTAGATATATATTCCATGGATGATGAAGATTTTTTTTTTTTTTTTTTTAAAATCAAGGCCTAATAAATTAAAGATACTCCTACATTAAAATTCACAAATCAAGTAGATGGTTACTGACTTTTGCAAAATATTTTACGTTTGTTTGAACTTTGATTACTGAAATTCATTAATTGACAATATCATCAAACCATCATAAGTTTCGTAATGTTTTCATATTCAAGGATCAATCTAGCAAAATTAGTGAAATTTTGAATGTTAAAGTTTTGACTGATGAGAACATAACTATTTTTTCTCACAATCTTTTTGCTAGCCAGTAATTCATATTTGAACTTTTCTAATTATCTTTTGTCAATATAATATATATGTGTGTATATACATCTACATATATGTATGTATGTGTATGTATATACATGTATGTGTGTGGGTATATTGGATGGGTGCATAAATATAGTGGCATGTTTCCCGCATCTAAAGTTTTCTTCAATTGTTGAATAATATTTAATTGGTAAACTTCATTACAATCAACTGTTGTTGGATTTTTTATTTTTTTTTTTCATTCTTAATGATTTATTACATTTATAACAGTTTTCCTTTTTTTTTTTAGGTCTGATTATCCTTGTTATGAAAGTTCTCGAAGATATTTTGAACATCTTAAAGTTCATGTCCCCAAGTAATAGTGACAAGAAATGGTTGGAGTAGAACGAATAATTCTCGAAATTGAACCTTTATTGAAATTTGGCAGGGAAATGTATAGTGTAGAATTGGGGAATGTCTGGTATAGGCAAGACAACTATTGCAAAAAGTATTCAACAAATCAGCATACAGTTTGAAGGTTCATACTTTGCTGAAAATATTAGGAAAGAATCAGCAAGTCATCATGGACTACGTCTAATGCGACAAGAACTTTTTTCTACTATATTGAAGCATCCTATCAGCTTCACAAAAGGAAGTTAGTCATAAAAGAGTTTCATTGTTTTTGATGATGTGACTACTATAGAGCAAGTTGAATCTTTAATTGATGATATTGAACAGCTGGGTTCAGGAAGTCGAATTATTATAACAACAACAAACAAACAAGTGCTTCGAAATTGTGGAGTGGATGACATTAATATATACGAGGAAGGGGCTATTTGGGAATGATGCTCTTCAACTTTAGTTGGTACGCTTTCGACAAAATGTCCCAATATAGATTATGATGACTTGTCAAATAGGGTAGTAAAATATACCAGAGGGTTCATTAGCTATTAAAGTGTTAGGTTGTTACTTCTGGCAAGTCGAAACAAGTTTGGGAAAGTGCATTAAAAAAGTTCGAAAGAATTCTTCCTGAGGATATTTACAAGGTGTTGAAAATAAGTTATGACGGACTAAATGATGTTGAGCAGTGCATATTTCTAGATATTGCATGTTTCCTTGAGGGGAGACTAAAGATTTTGTGTTAAATCTTCGGATGCTGATGACGGGAGGTTGAAATTGCATTAATTGATCTCGCTGATAAGTGTCTCATAACTATATCAGAGGATAACAAGATAATGGTGCATGGTTTGCTTAAGAAATGGGTTGGGAAATAGACAGACAAGAATCTACGGGAGATCCTGGTAAACGTAGCCGTTTAGGTCATGAAGATCTATAAAGTTGGAAGAAAATAAGGTAAGTGCCGAACGCATTAGATAAATTTTGATTTGATATTTTATAAACCACGAGATCTAATATAATATCACTTTTAGAATTTGTTTCCAGTTTTCCTAATAATAGATTAGCTTGGATGAATTTTGCTTATGTTTAATCATTAGAAGAAAGTCGACAAAAATACTATCATGTTGATAAACTCTTAAATACTTTGTAGCTCATTCCTCGTTATTATCTTCCTTGTATCAGATATCTAATGCAATAGAAGGCATATGTTTAGACATGTCTAAAGGAAGAGAGATCATTTACTTACAACCTAATGCTTTAGCAAAGATGGACGACTTAGATTGTTTAAACTACATAATGCGCACTATGAAGAAATAATATCAATAAGGTCCATGTTTCCGACGAGCTTGTTATGGTTCGACTAAGCTACGGTACTTATGTTGGCATGGATGTCCATTGAACGTTGCAGACAAAACTTTGGAAGAACCTTGTTGCGCTTGACATGCCTCATAGCAATTGAACAACTTTGGTCTAGTGCCCAGGTAATGTAGCGGTATTAATATTCCAATATTTCTTTCTAAGTTCTCAATATATGTTACTAATTATTTCTTTTCTATTTACAGCTTCATAAATTGAAACATATTGATCCAGTTTCTCTAAAATCTAAGAATTCAAGATCTCTCGTTGCCCAAATCTTGAAAATTGATTTTAGAGAGTTGTACAAGTTTGTGTGAGATTACCTCATCCATTGATGGTCTCAATTATAAGCTCCTTATCATAAATCTAAGGCATTGTAAAAGCCTTGGTAGTCTTCCGACAGACATTCGTCTAGAATCTCTCGAAAAAGTAATCTTTTCTGGCTGTTCAAATCTGAAGAAGTTTCCACAAATCTCCTGGAATATGAAAGAATTATATTTAGATGAAACTGCAATAGAGGAGTTGCCGTCGTCAATAGAGAATTTATCCAGACTAGTTAAATTGAATCTCAAAGACTGCTTAATGCTTGAGAGGGTTCCAAGCAATATCTGCAAGTTAAGATCTCTTGAACATCTCAACTCTATGGGTGTTCAAAACTTGAAGGTTTGCTTGATAACTGGGAAATTTAACAACTTTGAGGGGGCTTAAAGCGGAGAGGGTTGCTCAAGAGAAGTACCAACATCCATTCTATGTTTGCACCGTCTAGAGAAACTAGATCTGACCAACTGTTGTATTGAGGAGTTACCGAACAATCTTGGTCAGTTATCCTCACTGAAAAGCTTACTTCTTGGCAGAAAATTCTTTGAGAGCATTCCAACAAGTATTGTAGAGCTTTCTAAGTTGTCTTATCTGGACCTAAGCTATGTGAGAGGCTTCAAGTCCTACCAGAGTTTCCACATAATTTAAGAAATATAGATGCACACAATTGCACAGCATTGGGAGTATCATCAAGTTTGTCAATTTCTGCAAGAATTTTTTGATTTTTTTCCCCAAGGCGCAAGAATTAACTTGAGCAATTGCTTCAATCTGGATCAAGACGCCATCAGTAAATTTTTAACGATATTCTAGAAAAGGTTACTTTAAACGTCTCCTCGCTCTTTCTTTTTTCATATGATTTTTCATTACTTGTTAGGAAAAGAAAATTGTTAATGATATATGTTTACGTTTATCCATGTCATAGTTTTTGACTTCATTTTTATTTTTTACTTTTTCTGCAGAGTCATGTGTGTTCCACCAGGGTTGTGTCTGTTTCCCTGGATCGGAAATCCCAGAGTTGTTTGTCTTTCAAAGAGTAGAACCTTCTATAACTCTGGGAGAACAAGACCTTCTTGTCGATAATGTCTTCCCTTCTCTTCTCGTCTGTGTGTTGTGGAGTTTCGAAACTATCATAATGAAGGCCAGGGTTTGGTGGTTGTCTTCGAGTGCTCGCTCACAAGAGAAGATAGCACAATCGATGTGTTCCACGGAACTTTGAGGGGATGGGGCTATGGTAATGGACCTGACAATGTGAACTCAGATCACGTATTCCTGGGATATGATTCTGCTTTTAGCTTCTCTGGTTCGTACAATAGATCATCACAATATCGTGAGATGACCATCCGATTTTATGTTGAGGATTTTACTGAAAGAAGGTTGTTGCAACGTGAAAAAGTGTGGAGTTTGTGTGGGCCTTTGGGCGGAAACGGCGGGATCATTTGAAAGGATTTTTGGAGAGTTATTTTGGGAGTTGAATAAGAGAGTGTTACGAAATAAATTAAAATATTATAAAAAGAAATTATAAATTTATTAATTTAATTAAACACCCAACATATTAACCCGTTTAAAACCCTTTCGGGTCTGTCCATTTATTTGCAGGCGGGTCAGGTAACCGATGTACCCGTTAAAATTAAAAATTAAAAACCCCTCCTTTCTTAAGTGCAAAACCAGACCTAAATCCCTAATTGATTTTTAGCTTCTCTCTCCACGACGCCACAGTCCACTCCACGGTCTCCACCTTCGAGTTCGATGCTTCATGTTCCCCTTCTACCTTCGGTCACTGGTGTTTCTAGAACGACGTTTCCATTCCGGCGGCACTGATTCTAGCACTCTCCGTCACAACTCGCAAGCGGCAGGTAAGCAAAATCATTTCTTTCTATCCTTCTTTTTATCTCATACTATCCTCTTGTTGCATATGCAGTTATTGCAGTAATTAACACCATAAATCTTCATCTTTTTACATGGAAAAGATGGATTTTTTCATGTTCTATATCCTCTGCATTTGAGTTTACAGAAAGTAAATTTTCTTTTTAATTTCTCTGGCCGTAACTTTTCAGTCTTTTCTTTAAGTATTCAACTGGCTTGGGTTTGGGTTGGAAGATGAATATGAATATTGAAGAATAAAATGTGATGTAATTAGTAGGCAGTGGAGTTTGGAGAAGGTTGAGTTGTCTTGAATTTTCATTTTATTTACGTTGGTGGTGGTGAGGCATCATTGGATTCATAACTTGCTGTTTGGTGGTAGTAAGTCAACCCAAATTTAATTCAGCTCTGTCTCTCTATTTTTTTTTTCCTCAATTGGTTTCTTTTGAGTTCCTTAATATCCTGTTACTTCTTTAAGTTTCAGTCTTTGTGTATCATTTAATTCATTTCTCACTGTGACTTTGTTTGATTTTCGGTAATTGGTCTCTAGTATGTTTCAATATCTTAAGTTTGGCTTTTCTGAGTTGTTTCAATATCCTGCAACTTAATTTCGGTGTATTGCCGGTTTAAGCAATTTTTAAGAGTGGCACCTTATTTTTTTTTTTTTTTTTTTTTACTTTAGAAATTGGTTGATTACTTAGGATAATCATTTGTAGCATTTACTGGTTTATGAAATTTCACAGTTTTAATTTACAGCTTGAAATGTCAAGTGTTGGCAATATTAGCAGTTTGTGGTAGTGTCTGCTAAACTTGTGTGCCTTTGTGTTTTAGTATAATTGGGCATTATGACTTAGTTATCACTTGCTAATGTTTCGACTTTCTAATTTATCTTGTGTTGGTTGAACTTAAACTTAGGCTTTGTTGGTGGTCCACATTTCCTTAATGCCAATTTTGCGGATTCCTTTTCAAAGTATTATAGTTTATTTGTTGTTAGACTTTTACAGATAGCTAGAGCTTTGCAATGTTGGTTAAATCCACACTTAGAGAGACAAAGGTGCCAAGAAAAGGAGAAGCTATTTGTTCTTAATCAATAAATTAATATGCAATAGGGATTAAAATATTAGGCTGAGGTGGGCTTCATTTCTCTTTAGATCAATACTTTACCATTAGAATGTTGTATGCAAGTAACTAGGCTGCATGTTTTAAAACCTGACCCGTTGTAAGACCCGGTTAAGTGACCGGGTCACAGGTCGACTGGTTGGACCGGTGATGTCAGCAATAACTTTAGCAAATTAACCTGAAATTAGGTAGATTACAAAATACCCCTAAAAATTTTAAGTAATCCCTAAAATTTTTATTTATTTCAAAAATGCCCAAAAATTACCAATCTAACTTTGATATATCTCCAAAACACCCCTAGTTAGTCCTATAAATTTGAAATATTACAAAAACCCCCTGAAACTTGAACCAGGCTAGAGAGCTGTCGGGTCCCGATCCGACCGGCCGGTCCGGTTTGGGTTTTAAAACAGCGCTAGGCAGTAATTATATGATAGGAATACATTACGTCATGTGAATCCATGTGAAGAGGGTCCTTTATGTTGCTAAAACTCTTGATCCTTTTGAGTGTCATTTTGATTTGAGCCACAAAATTGTGTTAAACGCCTTTCTTTAAGTTCAGTCTTTGTTGATCATTTAATTCATTTCTCACTGTTAACTTTGTTTGATTTCGTAATTGGTCTCTAGTATTGTTAATATCTTAAGTTTGGCTTTTCTGAGTGGGTTTCAATATCCTGCAATTAATTGCGGTTATTGCCAGTTTAAGCAATTTTTAAGAATGCACCTTTTTTTTTTACTTACAAATTGGTTGATTACTTAGGATAATCATTTTGTAGCATTTACTGGTCTGTGAAATTTCACAGTTTTAATTTACAGCCTGAAATGTGAAGTTGTTGGCAATTTTAGCAGTTTGTGGCTAGTCTCCTGCTAAACTTGTGTGCCTTGTGTTGTAGTATAATTGGGCATTATGACTTAGTTATCACTTGCTGGTTGAACTTTAAGCTCAATGTTTCTGACTTTCTAATTTATCTTGTGTTGGTGAACTTTAAACTTAGGCTTTGTTGGTGGTCCACATTCCTTAATGCTGATTTTGCGGATCCATTTTAAAGTATATAGTTAATTGTTGTTAGACTTTTACAGATAGCTAGAGCTTTGCATATGTTGGTTAAATCCACACTTAGAGAGACAAAGGTGCCAGAGAAAGAAGAAGCTATTTGTTCTTAATCAATAAATTAATATGCAATAGGGATTAAAATATTAGGGCTGAGGGGGGCTCCATTTCTCTTTAGATCGATACTTACCATTAGAATGTTGTATGCAAGTAACTAGGCAGCATTGTTAAAACCGACCCATTGTGAGACCAGGTAAAGTGGCCGGGTCACGGGTGACCAGTTGGACAGGTGATGTCAGCAATAAATTTAGAATTAATCCTTGAAATTTTAGTATATTACAAAATACCGCAAAAATTTTTAAGTTATTCCCTAAAATTTTTATTTATTTAAAAAATGCCCCAAAAATTACCAATCCCTAAACTTTTGATATATCTCCAAAACACCCTTAAAAAATTAGTCCCTATAAATTTGAAATATTACAAAAAGCCCCCTTAAACTTGAACCAGATCAGAGAAGCTGTCGGGTCCCGATCCGACCAGCCTGTCCGGTTTGGGTTTTAAAACGAAGCTAGGCAGTAATTATATATTAGGAATACATTAACATCATGTGAATCCATGTGCAGAGGGTCCTTTATGTTGCTAAAACTCTTGATCCTTTTGAGTGTTATTTTGATTTGAGCCACAAAATTGTGTTAAACGCCTTTTCTAACCTTATTATTTAATTAATTTTGCATCAAATTATTGTAACGTAATTATCATCCCACAAGGTCATTAATTTAAATTACATTGTTGATTGATCATTTTATGTTTTAGAATCTTGTATCTTGAAGGAAATATATGTATTTATATGATACCAAACTTACATGATTAGAAAAAACACATTTTCATTATTAAAATCAACTTCAACTTTTGTTGTAAATGTAAGTCGCTAATTTTTGGCATCCCATCATAACAAAATCATTTGCGTTGATACTCTTTTTAAGATTAGGATAAATTAATGTAATTAATCTGTTCAGGAATAAACCATAATATTTCATATGTTTTATTGTTTACATTTATTAATATTTATAGTTGATAATTGTAGATGATGATGTAGATGATGATCTCCTTCATGTGCCATTAACTAATCCGGGAATTGCGGAATCAAGAGGCTCTACTATCACCCCCAATCCCCCATTGTGGAATGAATATGAGCTGACGAAAAATATCTTTAGTTGAACAATGTCAAGTTAAATATATGTTATGTTTTTGTTTTTGTATTTGTATTATTGTGTTTGTAGTTGTTTTTGTGTATTAGTGTTTATGTATTTGTTTTCTATATGTTTGTTGGTCTTAAATTGATGAGAAATTGAGATGATTGTGAACTTTTGTGGTGAATTGAACTGAATTTGGAGTAGTTGATCGTGGAGGTGTAACTATAAAATATTAAAACTGCAGAAATTGTGGGGGTGTAATTGCAAGAATTGGAAACTGAAATGAATGATACGGGCTTGGTGAGGATAAAACGTGGCCTGCTGGACTTCGACGGCCACCAGCCTCCCAATTTGCACTTTTCAGGATAACCCCTCTAATTCTCCCTGTATGCTTTTATCCTATTCAATCCCTCTCTCCATAGCAGAATTCTCCCAATAACCATACTCCTAGTGCCATCTGTCATACATAATTCTCCCTCACACTCACAAGCTCAGGACACCTCTCTACCCAATTACCATTAGTCCTCTACTGCAGCTGCCTATGCTTCTTATTGTAGAGCAGCACGCTAGGTGTTTCATCATTTTCACACCGTAAGTTTAGCCGAAAAGGAAAAGGTCTATGATAGTAGAGATGACCAAAATCCCATGACTGTCAACATGCCAGGGTTCAATTTACTATATGACTATACAATCTAAACATATTAGACACATGGACTCCTCTTTCATTAAATAAACAAGAGATTCCAAAAGACGCAAGTACATGTAGGCAGATTTTAGAGCATATTTACAAGAAATTGATATCCAGATCACATTGAACCCATATCCTATTTGAATGTTTTTGTGATACAGGAGTAGGAGGAGAGATAAACAAAGAACATAAAAGGGATAGAGAATAGAAAATTAGAGAGAGAAAGGAGGAGGCAGGATAGATTAGGGAGAACGGTAGGAAAGGGGGAAAAACTAGATTGTATTCTATAATCAATTAATCAAGCATATTAAAACAAAGCCTATTTATAGGCTTAAGAAACTTTATTATTCCTCCTATATCAATTTGTTTTATAGATTATGATAAAATTATTTGCATCATGATCTTTTGAAGAGTGAAACTGAGGTAAGACTATTGTTTTAAAACCTAGATTAGAGGGTAACCCGTTTTGCTGTCTGGGTCACGGGTCAACCGGTCTAATTGGTTGGACCAAAGACGTCAGCGATAATTTTAT